AAGAGTGAGGCGAGACAGACGAGAAGAGTGAGGCGAGACAGACATGAAGAGTGAGGCGCGAAACTTATATAAACGCTAAAGTGAGTTTGACGTTGTATTTTGTTGTTGCATTCAAGCAATTGATGCCTAACTGCCATTAATTCAAAAGTGAAAGTAAAATGTGCACGGCGCTTTTAAGCTATTTAAAAGCGAAGGAAAGCGAGGAAAAGAGGGAAAATTAAAACGAACTAAAAACGAACAATTGCTTTACTCTGAATTGCCGCTATTTGAAAGTGAAAGTAAAATGCGCACACCGCTTTTACAAGCTATTTAAGCTACCTCCCCCGCGGTGATACCAGTATTACCGGTGTTGTCACACGACAACCCTACATAGCACTTCAACTTTTATAACATGGGATTTTGACCAAATATATTCAATCTTGATTTTTGTGAGATGTCATTTTTTTTGTGAAAAATTACAGTTTTGCACATGTACGGTAATAAAACATACTTGAAGAAATACCTTAAAGTAACTACAAATGAGCATGTAAAGCAAATATCTATCTATAATTCTGTGTGAACCATGCCCCCAATCCAAACAGTGCTCCCAATGTTTCTCACCTTTTCACCTTACCTGTTTGCATCTCGGCATATAAGAAAACAATGACACCTTATTAAGATCTCTTTGAAAGAAGTCTCTTATGCTCCCCAAGGCTGCATTTATTTGATCAAAAATACAGTAAACACAGAAATATTGTGAAATATTATTACAATTTAAAATAACGGTCTTCTATGTGAATATATTAAAAAGTTATTTATTCCCGTGATCAAAGCTGAATTTTCAGCATCATTACTCTAGGCTGATGTGCGGCTGAATATTTTTATGGAAACCTTGATCCTTTTTTTTCAGTATTCTTTGATTAATAGAAAGTAAAGAACAGCATTTATTTGAAATAGAAATCTTTTGTAACATTATACATGCCTTTACTGGTACGTTTGATTAATTTAATGCATCCTAACTGAATAAAAGTATTAGTATTTCTGTCATGAAGCACTTTGTTCATTTTGTTTCAGTCAGGAGAGAGTGAAGAGTGAGGTGAGAGATGACCTGATCCGAAACTCCCAGCCCATCCTGGCAAATAAATCCCAGATGCTCGGCATGCCCCAGTTCGGCCTGCGGGATAACCTCATCAAATGTGAGCTCCTCAAGAAAGAGGATGCCTACACGTACATCAAGAACTACAGGTGCGGTTGGGTGCCAGTCATGCTTGATGTTAACATTTGCCTGTTATGTCATGCACTGATTTGAACATTTGCATCTGCTGCTTTTCAGAAGCCTCCATGGTCCCATGTGGCCTACATTTCACAATATGTAAACAGAAATTGTATTTTGGGAGTTATTAAAGTAACATATTGTTAATTAGAGCACTGCATTTCAGCCTGAGCCCAATGGGGCCCGATTTTTTTATGCCTCTAATTGCATTATTATATTAATTTGAAAAAGTAACATTATAAGTGTCTTTACTGTCACTTTTGATTTAAATTTCTAGATTTCAGTTCAATGTATTTTTAAGGTTAGTTAAAGGGGTCATATGATGCTATTTTAAAGATCGTTATTTTGTATTTGGTGTAACAGAATATGTTGACATGCTTTAAACCTTTAGGCGCCAGGTTTTTTTTGGAAAAATGCTGGATTTTGAAAGATAGAGTTAAAGATAGAGTTCTAATGTAAATTAGAAAAATGTTGGGCATGACCGAAAGTTTATGTGGGGTGTAAATATACTCATCTAATTTGCATGTTATGACGTCATCAGGGGGGTGGCCCTCTTGAATGTCATAATATTCATGAGATAATAGATATCGAATTGATGTTTGAACTTATTTGCATGTTTGTTTGTTTTTTGTCTTTTTATCCTCATTCCAAATGATCAGAAAAGAGGAAACCAACAATAAAACAGGAGAAAGTACTAAATTATTACTATACTATATAGTAGTAAAACGCATGTGAACAGTAGCCTACTTTTTGATCAGTTCATCAGTAATATTCAGGAAATAATAGATATTGAATGGTTGTTTGAACTTATTTGCATGTTTTTTTTTTTGTCTTTTTATCCTCATTCCAAAT